CTAGGATGGGCTGCTTGCCAAGGCAAGGCCTAACTGCCCTAGCTATGAGATACCAGACACTGTATAAAGTTCCTTCTCTGGAAACTCTTTATTTCTGTCACTTGACCACTTTGTGTCAAGCATATGAATCATATGAAAYAGAGATTAGATTTAACAAAATAAAGAGCTTTTAAGTAGTGCTGTAATTCTTAAGGATATGAGGTAAGACTGCATACATATCACATGAGACACTCAGAGGTGGATACGAGAAGGCCTATGCAATTCATCCATTCCTGACACCTGCGTCATCCCAGAGCCAAATTCCAAGTCCACTGCAAAATGGAGGCATCATAATACTGTACTGAAATATGAATACTTCAATGAAACAGAAACAAATATGTCATTTTCCCATGCAAACAGAACAAAAAGACTCTTAACAGAAGGCATTAAGCAACTTTAAACAGAGCGTAGCTGCCTGTGTCTGCCAAAATCCCATTATGACTATTTACTTCTTATAGCTAAGTGCTCTAATAACACATAAGTCGGAGTAATGATGCCTTTTAAGATCAAGACACTATTTTAGCTTCACTGTCTATTGTGATTCCTCACTAGTTGCTTAATTTCAATATTATTTGGAGTGTGTTTAGTCTGGCTTATGTACACAGTGACTTTAACAATTCAGCTGACAGTGCAGTTACATCAATTAGATGGGCCAAGAGGTCTCCCAAGTTAAAAATAAAACGTATATAATAACAGGACTTTCATAAAACTAATAAAATCAATAAMGCTATTATGGAGTAAAGGAGTAGGCTTTGTTTTTTTCCTGAAGAGTGGTCCTTATTGTCAATACACTGAACCCACCATCAYTGAGACCTGATGAGTCTTCCCCCTTTCTTGTTGTATCTCTCCTTATTATGCCACAAAAAGGCAAAGTACCACCAAATTTTCTTTCACCAAGATGCAACAAGAGTTCTCACATTGTTTGCATTCCCCCAATAAAGATATCATAATGTGAGACACTTCAGTCTCTTCTCTTTCCCACCCCCCTCTCAAGCATACTACCAAAGTTACAGCAGACAACTGATGCTTAGTTCTGACTAAAAGTATAGGTTTATTTTTAAGAAAATATTGCCATAAATCTATATTATTAGTTTCAGTGCGGTTAAAAAATGAACTTCAAAAGTAACTATTGGAACATCTAGTAATATTCAGTTCGGTTAACTGTTCTTGATGGCTTGATCATTTCATTTCAGACATATGTAGTTCTCCAGGCATCTGTCTTAATCAAACACTACTACATAGTCAGAAGTCTTTGGCTACTTTACAATAGCAGAACAGGAAAGAAATAACTCCCGTACCGTGATTAAGAAATATTCTTGGACCAAAGAGAGGAAGATCATAAGTTACCATCCCTAGCCAAGGGAGACGTGACTAATGATAACCAGCAACCAGGAATATTATGAAAATACTATACTGGAATATATAGATCTTTTTGTTAATTTCCCATTTTGCCACCTAATATGAATTATAACATCACGTAACAACCAACCAGACTCCATCATTTGATASAAAATAATTCTCGACTAAGTGGTTGTAATAAGAAAACTCCGAAGTCAGAAAAAAAATATTAAAAATAAAAAAAAACTTCTTGACCTTTGAAAAGGCCTGCAAAAGAGGTCTATCCAAAGGAGGAGGAATTAAAGAAAATAGTTAATGGGCCAAGTCATTAAAATGACCACAGAAATTTGGATGACAGCTTTTCTAAGGTTTAAACAGAACTCCTATGGAGAAGTTAATAGTTATGATCTAAGGAACTTTGGCATTGCCAGAATTAAAAAGCAACAAGCAGCACAGATTTGAACATAATTCATTTGTTTGGAACACACCTGTTTTAGGTTTCAGAAGAGACTAGAATGAAATCTAAACCAGGATCCACCACGCAAGAATGAGAAGAAACAMAGAAAAACATCCAAAAAACCTGGCTGGATAGCTTCAAAATTTCTGTTGGATTTTTGGCAGTGAACATAAATAGAATTCACTGTAATATGCAAATACATTATGATAATATGGTAAGCAACTTTTGGCATTTGTTTTATCTATTCAAATGATTCCATTAAATGTATGCAAAAGGCATGTTTTTCTCCCCAAATCATTGTCACTTTTAATCAAACAAGAAATAAAAAAAAAAACAAGGAAATGATTTTTAATTGGAGAAAAAGATTTGAGAGAGGATCACTGTGTGTTKTAATACTGCTAACATTTTACTTAACATACTCAAGTCTATGCACTATAAAGTACAAGAAAACTAGCCCTGCTCTGCTCAACTTGATGCTAGTGAAGAAAWCCCAAAAACAGTATCTTAACACAGTGGTTAAAACACCCTGAGATGATATTTTCATTGAAAAGAACATATATCAACTACATTAGGATTGGAATTAAAGTCTAAATCCACCTATTTACAGTAGATGATGCATTTATACAGAGAGTTAGGAATGCAGTGTTCCACATTACTCTCAATGCAACTGAGAAGCTTGAGTTTTTGGAGCAAAAATTCAAATGGACAGTTTCTTTCCAAGAAATGTATCTTGGACCACCATTTTTCCCATGCATAAACATCACCACTGTGTAAACTACACAGAAGCAAGATCAGGATCACAAGCTAAGTCGGATGAACTGAATTCCATTGCCAGTTCTGCAAAGGACTTGCAACCTAACAAAAGAATTTTATCTCTTATGTTTGTCTATATAAAGATAACCTGCTTCACAAGGCTCTTGTGGCAACTAATGGTTTTGTATATTAATATTTATGAAGTAGCCTAAGCTGTATCCATTYCTATAAAAATGTGCCCCACAGTAGCTTGACTAAGTTCTTCAGGACAACGATAATCTATCTTTTGTTATTTATTTGTACAGTTCCCCAAACAATAGGGTCTTAATCCTTTACTTGGACAGCTAGGCACCATTGAAACATAAATAAYCAGCAAACAATATGAGCTGAGAGGTTCAGCGAAGTGTTACCCTTCCCAGAGCTCCAAGGCACAGAGCATTCAAATGACCAGAATTTAGCCAATGCAAAGGGAACTGGGGACAGGGAACCTTAGCCTTGGTTGCTTGCTAACAACTTTGGTGGCTTGATCTTGAAAGGGTAGGCATTCAAAAACGGGACTGATGGAATGCATATGTGAGACGAGAGCACTTGGCATTCAGAGAAGCACATGGATTGCAAAGAGAGTGGTCTTTTGAGCAAGGCATTGAAGGACAAAGCTTTTTACATATTTGCCAGCCTCACTGTATCTGCAAACTAACAGTAAACACAGTAGGAAAAAAAGAGTATATTTTTCCCCCCTCCAGAAACAGCATATAAAAATTTGTCAAAACAGATGCACATCAACAGGAAAGAAAATGTTGTACAAACAACAGTAGCTGTTGCCTCTTGACGTGTTCTAGGCACCCACATGATGCTATGGGCACACACATCAAGCCAGACCTTCACCAGAACTATCTGCACTGCAGCAGTGCACTCACACTCCTCTGCTTCTCGGAAGAAGCAAGAAGTCTGGAGTTACTCCAAGGAGTTGAGMAGCTCTTCATCTTGAAAAGCCCTTCATCTTCATCTTCTGAGCATAAGYTCAGACATAAAACATGAAGTGTATGACATGCAAATTGTGCCAATTACTGAGCAAGTAACTAATCGTTTCTTCCTCACGGGCAGTGCAGACGTTTGTTCTGGCAATGGCAACTCCCAAGCCAGGCGCTCTCTGAAGGCAGGTGCCGATTTGGAATTGCTWACTCCAGAAATGAAAGACTGATGGGAAGCGCGACTGCCAGCGCGAGTGCAATGAAAAATAATTCCTTCCGAGTCACAAACAAAGAAAAGCTCCGCTTCTAGTCAGCCTGGAAGATACCTGGAGGACAGACAATTTCCATGAGGTGATGAGTGAAGAGGAAACGGAAGGCTGAGACGAAGGCTGGAGCGCATCCAGGAAGYGCTGAGTGCAGGGTGGGGCGCACGCAGGAAGGCACCAGCGGGAACAATGCGGAACAGCCTCCCGGTACCAGACAGCTCTCCCCCACCCCAACTCCTTTTTCCTTTCTTTCTTTTTTTTTAGATGATTTTTTAAGCACTATATTAGAAAAAATGTGGGGAATTGAYAGACTAATATTCAGCCATTCAAACTATGTGCAATGCAATAATTTATCATAAGACATTCCACACAAAACATTAAATTTACTGAATCTGTCAAATTAATGATCCAAATATTGCCAGTCTCACCATAATATGCCATTATCATAATTTCCCTCCAAAACTCTTTACCTGAGATATTCTAAGTCAACAAGACATACCTAACTTTAAGCATTTTAGAACACTTATCTATTTTATTGAATGTGCAATAAAATCAGAGCGAGCTAAATGGAAAATTTCTGCTTGACTTATCTTCATATGAAGTGAAAAAAAAGTAAATGCATTATAGAAAAAAAGAGGCAAGGGGCAGAAATTACAATGAACAAAAAAGAAGCAAGCAAGATAATATAAAGTCATTGCAAATATTTTTAAATATACTTTAGAAACTCTGGTTTTATAGAAAAGAGTAAATTACAGTAAAGTAAAACAGTAAATTAAGGCTGTAAAGCAGCARAATGCACTTATAAAATACATACATATGTTTTGAAGGGTAGTGCCTCTGGTAATGTGAATTCATTTGCTACAACAGAATCATCAGGAAATGTAACTCAATATGCAAAATACACATTTCAGTATGTTCCATTAGGCTTGAATAATAATTCTGTTCATTACCTAAAAGCCCCAAATTATCACATTCATTTGGCAGGGAAGTAATGGAAAAATTTGAATAGATAAGAATGATAAAGCACTGTCATCAAAAGACTACAGAGAAACAATACACACGCAATTTGATACGATCTGAAATAGATGTTGATTCTCTGTTTCTGAAAGTGAGCTTAAGTTCTCTTTACTAATAGTAAATGGGTGAAAAATCTCATCAGAAATCTCAAAGGTTTACCTGCTGGTACGCTTGGTAGATGACATCAAACAAGAAAGCCTGAGGCATTTCACTTGCTCTGTACCGGGCCCGTTCCAATGAGTGGTCTAAACAGCCATCAGCAGAGGCAGCAATAACGGTAGAAACCAGAGGACAAATCGCTCCTGCTGCCTGGGAAACAAAACACAAAAGGAGCCTTAAGTGTTTATTAACATCATAGAACCATTACGGTTGGAAAAGACTTTCAAGATCACCAAGACCAAGCGTAAACCTGTCACCACCCTGCCTGCTAARCCATGTCCCCAAGTGCCTCATCCACAGGTTTCTTGGACACTRCAGRGACGGTGACTCCACCGCTTCCCTGGGCAGCCTGTTCCAAATGCTTCATCCCCCTATATCAAATATGTTCAAGAGTTTTAAAATAGGTCTTCTGCTTGTTTAGAATTAGGAAGCTTGTGTAAAAACATACAGAGGGGCAGTCTGCAAAAAGGGTGTTAAGTTCTTCACGCACCTCTACAAACTGGAGAGGTCTGTTTTTCAAGCTTTCTACTACACACATACTAGGCAGTTTCTGTGAGAACAAATCTACACCTATTCAAACGTAAAACACCAAGGAGACACCTCTGCACAGTGTTGACAATCTACAATTCCTTGTTTGCACTATTTTGGCCAAACTGCTCCAAAGAAAAGGAACAAGAAAAGTTTCAGGGCATTCAGATTGTTCCTCTGTGCTGAATTCACCTTGTGTAGCATTCCCAACTACCAGTAAAGTTATAAGCAACACAGTATAAACAACAGAAAGAAWTCAATGCTCAGCAGCACTGTGCCCCAACACGGACATTAAAAGGCTGATATTCCAATTTTGACTTTGCTCAGATGTAAAGCCAACCAAAGGAATATGTTAAATCTTTATTCATACTTGCACAGCACTTCTGAAACAGAGCTCTCCAAGCTCCTTTTTGGTCACTTACATACCAGAAAAAACATCTAGTGTCTTAAAATATGATGACATGATCTGGAAATGAAGCTAAAGGAAACTGAAACGAATCCTCAGTAAGCTAATCAAAAAAAAAAAAAAAAGAAAAAAAGAAATAATTGTAAAACATTGCTTATCAAGTCACAGGGGGAAAAAGGCAAGTTCCTTAAGCAACGGCAAACACGGAGAATGGCTTATCCTGTATTACTTTACATGTCTTCAACATTAACAACAAAAGAATAACTGATGATGTTCAAATGTTTAGAACTACCCATCATCTAACTATATGTAGACAACTCTCCCAATGACAAATTCTGAAAATTTCACTGCAGCCACAGAAGAACATTACACATTTTATCACCTAAAATCAGAGTGATCTTAATGTTGATCTCATTTTAGTTCTGTTGGCAGATTCTGCCCTTTTATATAAGGGTCAAGTCATTTCTTGCACCACTTCTGACATCAAATAAGCATGCCACAGCAAAAACGAGGCATGGAAAGCAAGTCCTAAAACAGATTTTTTTTTTCTTCTCAGAAATGCATTTGTCTTTCTTCTCCCTTTCACACTATTGAACAATAAAACAAACAGAAATGCAGACCCTGTGCTGACTACTTCCTAAATACTAAAATCTAAAGCTTCTTTGTTCATTTTTTTAAACAATGAGGACACAGAGGTAAATTAGTTTCTCCTGTCCAAGGAGTTCTGATAGGACTAATCCACTCATGCAAGGGACAGAGAAGAGAGGGAAAAGAAATTCAACAGGTTCATAGGACTGAAGCAAAGTCCTATGTGTATCCAAGTGCAAAGCCACTTTTTTAGAATCTCAAAAACTCCCTAAAAATTGGGAAGACAACATATCTACATAAAACAGTGTCTCTTATCATCCAAAGGACAAAGAGTACAGGAAGATCAGAGAGAACTGTGAAATCACTGAAAAACAGCACACAGGATCTCAGGAGGTCATCCAGTCCATCTCTCTGCCCCAGGCAAGATCGATTTGGCTTCTGTCACAGAAAAGACAAACCGCCAAAAGTAAATATTATTGTAATTTTAGTACTAGCTCAACATACTAAAAGAGGAGCAAAACATAGCAGATGTACTATCAGGAAAAGAATAAGCAGAAGTAGAGAGTAACTTATCTACAATTTGTCCCCCCTTCCTGTCTACCATTCTAGGACAARGATAGTTACCTTTACATCCCAGCTGCTGGGCATTTGGATTATGTTATTTTGTTCTGCTGTCATATTTTAATTGATCGCATACAAAAAAAGTTATAAAATAAGAAGGTCATGGGAAAAGAGAGAGAACAGCATGCTAGCCACAGCTTTTCTGTAATTAGTTAAACATCTATTTAAAAATGCCCATTGGATTTTTTTTTTTTTTGAAACAGTTACCATTTCAGAAAACCAGTTAGCAAAATTGGGCTGCTAAGGCTGATCCAATATTTTACGGGTTTTTAACCACCATGTCATGTTACATTTTAAGCATAAAATAGGCCAACAGAATACAATGCAACTTGCGTAACTAAATCACACAAGTGAAACATGCACTCTGAGCAACAAAAAAACAACAAACTGCAGTCCTAAATAAAAATGAAATACTCAAAATTATATTCTTAAAAGAACTCTGGAGCACATTGTCTTCTTGACATCTGGTTTATTACACAATAAAAATTCATGAATGTTTGTAGCTGTATCTTTGTGACAATAATGAGCCACATCTCCTGCTTGGCTTAGGCCTAGCTCTTCTAAAAGATTCACAAAGATTTAATTTCTGATAAATCCAAACATGTCATTTTTTTAAAAAAAGTCCCAAATAACTTCTCAARTAATTGGAAGTTTCAGTACAGGCACCTAAATTTTAACAAAAGACCTTTTTCAATAATTATGGTTTTGCATTACCCCAGAAGAGAGGTCAATGTGACAAGCCAAGCAGAACTCCACTCAAATTGTACCTGACACTAAAAACAGGAACTTTAATATAAAGAATAAGATTTAGGGCTGATTTCCCTCCAGATCACACGAGGGAGAGAATTTCTATCCATGTATGCAGCAACAGAATCACMGAACCCCAGAATGGTTGAGGCTGGATGGGATCTCTAGACATCATCTAGTCCAACCCCCTGTTCAAGCTGCATAACAAGAAGTCACTTGATGATGGACAGGACAAAGAGAGATCAAAGATAAACACAGCCCTGCCTACATCCCACATTCTCTTTGTACGGGATGAGGATGAATCCATAACAGGAAATTTTCTTGCATTTAAAAGTACTTCTGGCCACATCCTCCACTATATATACTGCTATGTGGCTGCTAAATCCAGCGAGCCTACRAAGACCTTCTGACACGTGCTTCTGAATCCAAAATTGGCCCATGGCATTCTTCATTCACAGTGTCAGGCATGCAAAATCAGAATAACTGAGCTGCGCATACCCACCTCCCACACACACCAAAGAGCAAAACACATGGCCCACTCTGCCACACTCATTCTGGTCAGCTTAAGTGTCCTTACTKAGCACTGCTGCTAGTTGTACTCTCAGCAGTCTTTCAATAAAGTTGAACAAGAAATGATGTACTTAAAATAAGGCAATAGATTACATTTCTTAGTTCAGAAATGTAAGGAGTACTGCACAGTAGTGCTGAGTCTCACTATAACTGAAGAGATTTCTGTCGCTTGTAACCACAGTGTATAAGACTTACAACATCATGCAACCAGCCTACCTGCATTCAATTACAATGCCAGCTCTTTTGAGCCCTGCAAAAGATCCTGGTTTTTTTGGTGGTTTATTTTTTTTTTCTGGCAATAAATCAACAATAGCAAGTAGCAAATAGATTATATACTGAGTAGCAGCTATCTGAATTTCACTTGATCTAATACAAGCAGCTTTGACTTGCTCTTTCTGTTAGAAATGTCTTTCTGCTAGGGATTTGATGCAGCTCTCAGCCAAGCGCTTCAGATATGATTTAAAAAAAAAAATAAGGAAACAAAATTTGTGCATGTGTAAAACTATGAATATTTGTTTATGCCAATATGGATTTATAGACTTTGAATTAGTCTACTGCAAAGTAAAAATCCTTTGAGTGTAAAGGTAATATAACACTCAGGTACTCCCAYTTCCCTATCCTGAGTTTCCATTTTCATCTTTCTCGTAATTTTGACCCAGAGCTCAAAAGGATTTTCTTTCAAAATTATATGCAAAATGTATCATTTACRTTTCTTGAATTGTGACAGTTAAATAGGATGTCTTTAAATGACCACTTTATAGCCATCCAGCCACTCCACTTCAAAGACATTCAAGCACGAGTCTTGGTTAACCTGGCACATACAGGATATCCGTACACTTCTCCTGGTGTTTGCACATTTTAAAATGGTGTGAAAGTGGCAATCTATCTGTGGGCAAGCTCTAAAAATATTCTTAATTTCATAGACACTGAAACAAGTACTGCTAACTACTATTACATTACAAATACAAATACTGTTAAGTAACTATTCCCAGGMAAAACACTGAAATGAAAGATTACCCTTTACTCTGTCATTGAATTAAAACAACCCAAAAATGTCCTGGGAACTTATAACTTCCATGAACTTCAATGGAAGTGACAGACAAGTACCTCCCAGAAGTGAGCTCATTGATCCATTTGCTGAAAACTGAACCAGTCTTTAGGTTCTTTCAGAAACAATACRGGTCTTCTGTAACTTATTTTAAACATCAAAAAATGAAAATACTCAATTTTCAACCAGCTTCTCAAATTTTCATTCCATTTTCACATAACTGCATACAGTATAGCATGTATGCAAAGTTTAAAGATGCAATATGACTGAAAAAGGGAAAGTAGTTCACCATGCGGGTCAGTATAACAAGGCACCAAGTGTCTTTTCATTAGATTTACAGCATGCCTTTTTTACCACCTTTTCATTAAACATCACCACTATCTTTCTCATTTTGTCATACTTTAATTCTGGACAAATATCACTTAGATTAATGTGTTCAGTGAATAAATAACTAGGCTGAACTTTAGGATCAGACAACATAATGAATTCAAAGGTGACAAAACCTAAGCAGTACCTTTGTAATTGTAAGCAGTAATTGATACCTTTCATTATGAAATGAAAGTATAGAAACTTGAAGACAGAAACAGCTTGGTTAAAACAATGAGATACAACTTACTTATAATGAAAAATCATAAAATCTGC